TGGAGTTCATAAATGGGCATACTCATACGGCAAAAAAGTCTATTAATCGGCAGTGGACAAATGACTTCAAACTATCATCACTCCACTGTATGTCATATTTGACACCTTTCACAGTACTCACCACACCTTTTTCACTCTACCTTTATGTCTGTCTCTTTTACATCTTTGAATCATTCTTCTGTTCCACCCTACCTACTTTTTTCGCTTTGATGTTCCCCCTCCCCTCTGTGAAGTCTGAAGTCAACTAAGGGTTTACTGATAGGTATCATAAAGACTGTCATTGGTTATAAATAAATAAATGCTTTAAATTATTGTTATTAGCCCAGGTTGCTATGATGCAACACAAGTGGCTCAAACTGTAAAAAATCACGCCATGTGTATGGCATTTATTGTATGATTTGCGTTATGGAAGATTGATCAGCTCTCAATTAGCATTACTGGCAATTTTCCTGGGGTTGTTCTTCGTGAAATTTAAGCTAATAGCCTGATTTTGGTTTATCGCGTTTTCAGCTGTTTTACCTTGTAAGCTACTTACTTAGTGGAAAAGGTATTCAAGTGCTTTTGGGATCAATTTAATCGAATTACCGTTGAATGCATTCATGAATCAATTTCCATAAATAGAAATTTTTAATTGTTCATAAACTTGACATTTTTTAAATGTATTTGAATTATGAGTCATTTCTTTGTAAAATTTGGGCTAAATTGTCGAAGTTTATCTTATACATATTATTACTTAATTATGGATATTTGTGGCGATTATAGGGTTGATCAGAGTGGTGTATAGCCAATGTGCAAAATTGCTTAACTCAGATAATGTTTCTTTAAATTCTGCATTTTAAATTGGAGAATAGGAAATTCAATCAGAATCGAAGGCCTTTGCATTGTCACATAAACAGTCAAGCAGTTTCAATTTGATATTTTGGCGATTAATTACTACACCTATTCACTTTGATGTGCTATCAATTGGTCAAGGAGGACTATCGACAAGTTCTTTAATGACAGGTGCATACAGTGGGGTGATGGTATTTTGAAGTCAGAAGTCAACTGCCGATTAATAGAAGTCATGGTATTTTGAAGTCAGAAGTCAACTGCCGATTAATAGACTTTTTTTGCCGTATGAGTACACGTTTCTCAGGGAGCATCACGTAGAGGTAAGTCATTCGCTCACTTCAATTATCCAAACATAGTGACATGCTAATACTTGAGTTATCAGAAAAAAACTGCTTGACGGTTTACGTTTTCAGCATGTATCCAATCTACTCAAAGAAAAATGTAATTACATTTAAATCAGGTAATGAAATAACTGTGGCATGGAGATCTGAATAAAGTGGATATGAGGTCACCCAAAGCCTTAAAGTCGAACAATACATCATCGAACTCTATCATTTCAATAATCATTACCCAGCTTTAACTTGTACATTTCATATTCGCCAGAAGTGTTTTCTCTCTTGCATTCATCTGCAAAATTAGGAAGAGAATTTATATGGCCTCGTTTTGAGCGCATGAACCTATTGATATATTCCAATTGGCTTATTTGCCAATTGTCCCCTGTGTTCTGTCTAATTTTGGGATCTAGGGCACACTATCGCGAAAAGTGCACATTACCAATGGTGTTTAATTGTCAACTTATAATTATGTTGATTTTATAGGTTTCTAGAAGAATCATACCATTGTATAATTATATTAATTTCTGTTTCTGCAAGGGAAAAATGACGTCATGGTTTAACAACCCTTCAAAAAGATGCTTCTCCAAAGTCTCAATTATCATTGAAATTGAAGTTGAAAGATAGGGAATTTTCTGCAAATTCATGTATTGTTAATATATATATATATATATATATATATATATATATATAGGATCTTTAAATAAATCGTTTGTATTTGGGAGTGTTTAAAAGCATCAGAGTCACGAAGTCATAGTATATAACTCATCGAAGGAGTTCTAGGTTAAGCGAACTATAGGCACAAATTTATGTTTGATTAAAATTATCCTAGAACACTAAGAATGCTTATTACTGTTAGTTGTTTATAATAGTCACTAGTATCAAAAGTTGTTTAGAGAATGGAATCAGCCAGGTGATAGAAATTTTTCTCACAGGCATCATCAAAGGGAACCAAATGGTTTACCATAGTTAAAAAGACCTTATTTAAAGCTCATTTGTTTCCATGATTACTTTGGTCTAAATCATTATTTTACTTCTAAGAGTTAATAAAAAATTACATTAAAAGATATTCTAAAAGAACTTAATCAGTTATGGCACTCTAAATAGGCCAAAATATATTTTTTAAAATTTTATCAACAAAGCAAGAGTTTTTCTCTGAATATTTTCATAGTTTATGCAAATTTGCTATCAAAACCACTCGAAATTGAAGAAATTGTCAAACCCCAGGGAGATTTTGCTGGAAATTAGATTATAATTTAATTAGAATAGACCACAAAATTAGTGGTGCAAATCGACGAAATAAAATCGAGTCCTTCTACATTATGCAAATTACAATATGTGGATTTAATAATCTTAGCCCCCAGCGATATCAACCTTTAATAATAAACCCCTTTGAAGTGTTTGAAGAACATAAAATTGACTTATCCCAAGATACTTGTGTTCAAATTACGATTACACTTATTTTCTTGAGGACATCCCGCGATTTTATCCAATCTGCTTGCAACTGACAGTTCTGATTTAAAATATATATATATATATATATATACCACCTATAAATATAATCACACAAACAAAGAACTGAATAAAAGCCGATGGTTCATATATGTACGTAGACTGTTGTACATATGAGTAATTAGTTGTTAAAAAGAATGAACAATTTAGGAGAGTATTCAGGTCTAGAAAAAAATTTCGAATTTTTTGTTGCATATTTTCATAATTTAACTATTCAAGAATATGTCTACGAGAGGATTTTCCAAAATTCAAATTTGTTTCAGAGATATAAATATTTTGCTGAGCAGGCATCCAAATCGGTTGGGCTGCAACTAATCGAACAAAAGACATAATGGATTCTCCGACTACCTGAATCTATATTTCTTAGTAAGCCCTTTTGTTCCGTTATATCTATCTACCTATATATATATTTATATATATTTCACGGCAATTGATTTACGGAACAGGAAAAAACAGTTTTACTAGTGCATTAGCATCAAAATTTAGGAGATCAAATGATGAAGAAGTAATTATAGATAATAATTACTGCGACTGTGTTTCGGGGTTTTTCACAGTCTTTTCAGCAATTTCTTCGTTTATTTCGTGTACTACATACAACAACGAGATTATATTTTCAAGAACGGCTCAACGCGGACTCGGGTTCAAAATTTCATTACAAGACAGTTGCAATAGTCTACGCTACACTCCATCATGTCCATTCGTTGACATATCCTTCGAAGTTTATCATAAGAAGAGTTATTGATTCGATGTTTGGGTTAAGAAACTCAAAATAATAATGAGTCTCTAAACTCGCTGATATGGATTTCGCTCCAAAGTATATCTATTCCGGGTCTCAGATAATTGAAATTGCAATATTTACTGCCGTGTGTATATTTAATGAAGGATTTATACCAATATTGAAGTTAATGACGATTATGGGAGTGAAAATCGGTTTAGAAGCGCATGCATTTGCTATCAGACGAGACAACACTCGGATTGACCGCTCCGAGATACGAGAATCCAGCGCATCAAAGGAGGCCAGAACTGCTCGAAAATACGAGAATCCAGCGCATCAAAGGAGGCCAGAACTGCTCGAATAAAAAACAGAGACGCCGAAAATGGTTTATTCGAAACTGATAATCACGATTTCTCAGATTCTGCCGAATCGATTTATTTGAAATTTTACGAGAGTCTTCTTTAGGGACTTGTCTATGTCCGGAACTACAGTTATCTCCAAATTTTAATTTTTAATATTCATAAAAATTCGAAGAATGTTCAAAAAAGTGGTCAAAAGTGGTTTTTTCCTTGACAGTCGCCATTTTGTAAAAAAATATATCAAAAACTTTTCCGTAGTTCCGGACATAGCGGCATTACTGTAGATTGATAATCTTATTTAATTTTGATTTCAGATTGCTTGGAAAGTAAAAATCGTGGGTATGGTCTTGCAACATATTTTTGGGACGCCCCACTCCATCAGCTGATAACTAACGGAATTTCTAATTTTTTATGCTTCTAAGGTGAATAAATAATGTATAAAAAATTGATAATAAAAATATTGCTTGCTTTTTACAGCACTTCAAAAATGACCTAAAATGCATGTCTATAGACCAGAATACCACCTTAATAACATTTTTGTTTTAATGATCCAAACGGAGTGTGTCGCATTTGTAGTTCGTCCAAACTCGTGCATTTGTTTACTTCACGTCTATTGGTATTTATTTAACTGGCTAATAATTTTGCTTTGACTTATCTTCCTAGCCGTTTTTATTTATTTGTTTAAGCACTCGTTTTTTCGGACCCATTATGACACAGTCATTTTGGATTTTTTGTTCTTATTTTTAGGTTAATATCCAGTTAGTCCAAAATGGAATCAACTATTAGTGGCTCTCAATTGCTTCCCCTTGAACTGATCGATAAATGCATTGGGTCTCGCATACACGTAATTATGAAAAATGATAAAGAAATGGTTGGAACTCTTTCGGGCTTTGATAATTATGTCAACATGGTTCTCACCGATGTAACTCAGTTTGAATATACTTCGCAGGGTAAGAAAATAACCAAGCTTGCCCATATTCTCCTTAACGGTAGCCACATCGCCATGATGGTTCCTGGAGGTGAAGGACCAGAATTGTAAATATTCTCTTTTACTTTGTCAATAAATCTATATTCATGTGCATATAAGGTATTTTTTACTTGGCTCAATATTAATGCGAATAAATTAATGACTTGTTATATTTAAGCCTCTTTTTATGACGACGGGTTTTTATTGTATGGTTTCCCAAATGGACAACTTCGACAAAAATTTGCACGCCATCTGTCTTTGCACCCTTCAACAGATTAGTCGCCGGCTCATTTGCTCCAGCTTGGTTGATCTTAGTAAAACCAGCCCTTTAGTTGACTTCGTGCTTCACAGAAAGGAAGAGGAACACCAAAGTGGCAAAAAGTCGAGATGGGGGGACGGAATATGGATTCACAGATGTAAAAGAGTCACAGACACAAAGGTAGAAAAAAGGTGATTACTGTGGAATTAGAAGAATATGAAATGCGGTGGGGTGATGGTAGTTTGAAGTCAGAAGTCAACTGCCGATGGGGTGATGGTAGTTTGAAGTGAGAAGTCAACTGCCGGTCAATAGACTTTTTCCGCATAAGTATACGTTGCCCAGGGTGCACCACATGGAGGTTGTAAGTACACGTTGCCCAGGGTGCACCACGTGGAGGTAGCCGTATTTGTATACGTTGCCCAGAGTGCACCACGTAGAGGTAAGTCTATCGCTCACCCCTAATTTATGATATAATTCTAGCAAGATTTTCCCATATAAGGTGAGGTCAACGCGTGGAACTTATTGTTCATTTATCACGTATTCGATGGCATAGGGTATTCCTAGGGTGGTTTAAATTTTTTTTGATGATACCTAAGTAAATGAGGAAAATAAGAGAACCGTAAAAAAACTTCTTTACAATTTTAATTTATTTTGCCTCTATGTGAAAATAAAGTACAAAGGATAAGAGAGGAGGAGTTTCATCTTCTAGCAGATGCCCTTCACCATGTAGGGGCCTTCCAACTCATAACCCAGTTTTCGATAGTAATCTCTTGTTCCAACTCCAGAAATTACTGCAATTTTCAATGCTCCATGCTCATATTTAGCAATTCTCTCAGCTTCCTCCATCAAAAGAGTTCCAAATCCTTGGTGCTGGAATTTAGTGGGATCTTTAGCTGAGATTGGGACTGCGCTACCATAAACGTGCAATTCTCTTATAATGGAGCAATTCGGATCGTTGTTGCCTTCTCCTTCCACGTTAACACGCAGTTCCGGACGGAAGGTTTCGGGAGAACACTTTCTTAGACGAAGCAAACCGACGAGAATATTCTGACGAGGATCTTCGTAGGCCAAGAAGGTTTCCCAACCTCCGTTTGCCACGTAGTCACGACGTATCAGCTCAATCTAAGAAGAGATAGTTCATATTACTTCTGATATTCAAATACCTTATAACTTTAGTAGTGTTGGAATAGATTAATCAACTTTTCCGACATTTAATTTACCATTACCCATGAGAATTAGTTTTATTGGGCATACCATTAGGTGACATCGCCAATGATTGCAGCAATTGTAGCATATTGAGATGCAATATAAAATAGAACTTTACTATTTGAGCCCGAGTTAAAAACGCTAGATTATTGGTTGGCCTGACCTAATGGAAGCATTTGAGAGGTCACTGAGTGTGTTTTGATAAAATAAGAGAGTATAGCCAATCAACATCAACAACAACAACTGCCCTAAATCGACTACTTTGGTTAAATGAAAAAGCACGCCGAGAAAAAGGGAGAAAAAATACCTGGGAGGGAAAAATTTTGTTATGAATAGCTTGGATCCCGACTTCGCGAGATCGAACATCCCAGCACTTGGCTCCCAATTCTTCCATTCGTTTGCTGGCCAACTCTCGAAGATTTCCCTCCTTCACTCCACTGGTCACTACGGGCATTGGGATGTCCCTTAAAGCCAAAGTGAGGGTGCGTCACAATAAATGATGGTTATTTGGAGATGTTTTCCCAACTGGACTTGGGAGTTATTCGTAACTCCTACTTACCTCTGAATACGATAGACACGAGTCCAAGGTGGCACTAAAGCCAAAATCCTAGCAACCAGATCAACGAGGGTACTAGGCGGATAGCTCTTATATCGACCCGTACGATAAAGTTCATACAACCCTGTGCCAGAGATAACCAGAGTGGGGTAGATCTTGAGACCGTCGGACCGAAAAGCGGGATTCTCAAAGTACTCGGCAAATTGGGCCATGTCACGCTCCCAACCCACATTTGGCAAATCAGGCATCATATGGGCGACTATCTTGAATCCAGCATCCTTGCCAAGGTGGAAAGACTCGCAGACTGCGTTGACTGTGTGACCTCTAAAAGTAAGAAATTTAATTAGTAGACAGGACTCCAAAGAGCTATTGTCCAAATGACACAGTAAAATCCAAATCGTTAGAAGCACAAAGTAACGTTCTATATGTGGGGTGTGTGATAGACTTACCTCCACGTGGTGCACCCTGGGCAACATATACTCATACGGCAAAAAAGTCTATTATCTGGCAGTTGACTTCAAACTACCATGACCCCACTGTATGTCATATTCGACTACTTTCACAGTACTCATCCCACCTTTTTTCTACCTTATCTACCTTCGTCTTCGATGCACTCTTCTGTTCCCCCCCCCCACACCTCTTGACTTTCTTCCCCTCTGTGAATACTGAAATCAATTAAAGGGCTAATGATGACAATCAAAACGCCTGCCATTTGATATAATAATAATGATACGTTCTATATGTTTAATTAGAAAAAAGACGGCTAATTAGAATCGCTAAGCCATTGAGCTACAACTTCTAACGTTGCTAATCCCTGATTAATGATTTTTAAGTGGTGACAAGTAACTTTAGATATAAGAA